CTCCCAGTGTGACAGAAATGGAGATAGATAAGCATGCTTGTGGCCTGGAAACCATGGGTTGCCCACTAGCTAATTAAGAGAAGTAAGCAAAGGGAATGTGCACCCTTGAATTCTGGTGGTGTTGAAAACTCTTGGACTGCAAGGAGATCACACCAGTCAATCCTAAAGGAAATCAACCCTGGATGTTCTTTGGAAGGCCAGATCCTGAAGCTGAAGCTCAAATACTTTGGCCACCTAATGAGAAGAGACGACTGATTGGAAAAGACCCTGATGTTGGGAAAGATGGAAGGTAAAAGGAGAGGGGGATGGCAGAGGACGGGATGGTTAGATAGTCACGCAATCCACATGAGTTTGGGCATTGGGGGACAGAGGAGCATGGCTTGCTTTGGTCCATGGGGACACGACTTGGTAACTCAACAGCAACAAAGGCAGAAAATGTTGCAGCACTTTACCCAGGTATATGAGAAAAAGCAACATATAATTTGTTAGTGTTTACTGAGTTAGGATTTTCATTCCTCCCTTTTCCCCGCCGCCGTTGTTAGTGGGAGCAGAATGGTGGGAAACAGCACGATCTTGGATTTATTAGGATTGGTCCAATGTGGACTCAGCAGACAAGAATCCAGTCAAGGGCCTGCTGGCCCAAAGAATATGGAAAGAAATTTGTATGGTGGTAACAGAAGGAAGCGGTTTCTTAGCAGTTAAGATGCTGAGCTTGTTGACTGGAAGCAGTTCGAAAGCATGCAAATGTGAGTAGATAAATAGGTGCCACTTGAATACCACTTCGGTGGGAAGGTTTCTGTGCTCCTTGGCATATAGTCATGCTGGCCACATGACCACAGAGGCATCTTTGGAGAATGCTGGATCCCTCAGCTAGGTAACAGGCCAAAGATCCAAAAGAAAATATCGCTGGAGGCCTAACACTCTGCTTATTCCATTCACTGAAAGGGTAGCAAGCCATTACTTTGTGGGCTTAAAAATATGTTAAGCTGACCTTGTTGTATTTCATGGACTACTTATGGGTCACTCTGCTCAGTCTGTTCAGTTGGGATCTTTGATATCTCTCACCCCCCAGTTCCATCTTCTTGTCCCTAATTCCTGCCAAAGAATACCCAATTCTCACACAGTCTTCAAGCAGAACACAGTGGGTATAACCACTCTTAACAGCTCGATGCCAGGGAGATTTCTGGAGAAGATGGCAGATGGAAGACAGCTCCATGAAAAGTGGAGACAATATTTCCAGCCACAAACAGAGAGCTGATGAGCAGATCAGCTGCTTCAACTCTCTGTGGACAAAGAGAGCATGTGAGATCAACCCAGCTGATATCTTCAGTTAGCTTCTCGTAAGAAGACGCCAGAGGGAGGGAGAATTGGAAGATGAGGGAATTCACCACAATCGCTCCAACCGCAAACAGAGCCTTTTTAAAGGATACTAACTTTGTTCATCTCTTTCGGAAATTGACTATGAACTGTTTCAAAGAAGTTAAAACACCTACAAAGTGACAAGATTGCAAACTTTGGATGGGTGCCTTTGATCCTTAATATAAGAAAAGGATGTATCTTTTATCATTCTTAATAATTACAGCAAAAAAAACAAGACAAGGCTTTGGCTACACAAAGAAGTTAAAACACCCACAAAGTGACAAGATTGCAAGCATTGGATGGGTGCCTTTGATCCTTAATATAAGAAAAGGATGTATCTTTTATCATTTTTAATAATTATAACAAAAAACAAGGCAAGGCTTTGGCTACACAAAGAAGTTACCACCTACAAAGTGACAAGATTGTAAACATTGGATGAGTGCCTTTGATCCTTCATATAAGAAAAGGATGTATCTTTTATCATTCTTAATAATTACAGCAAAAAACAAAAGGCTTTAGCTACACAAAGTTTTAAACGATTAGTGGTTTAAAAAATGTCAGATTTTGGATTTTGAATATTAAGACATTGAAATTCTTAAAAGAACACATTCATGCTTCCGTGAAAGAAAAACCATGTCTTATATTGGAGACATAACAAGACAAGTAACTTCTTATGGCTATCAAAGATATCTTTGATGAACTGCATTGGGAATTGTGCCAGGACTTTGAACCAATTATATCAATCATGTTGCATCTTCCTGGAAACAGTCTGTTCCCAAAAGATGTACAGAAAAAGATATGCAACAAAATCTACCCGAGAAAACACGAACATTTGAATGAGAATATGTCATCCGATATAAATAAAAAATGGGATGCGGGCTTTAAAAATGAAGGAGGACATAAAATAAGATCAGAGAGCAACTGGAACAATTTCTTTTTACTGGACAAACAAAAGAGGCTGTTTAAAGCATTGAAAAAATGTGTCAAGGATCAACAACCATCTGAATAGACCAAAAAGAAAGATTTTTTTAACCTTAAATAAAGAATACAAAGTTGGTTTATTTGATCAAGGTTAAAATGTTGCCAATTTGCGGTGGTTCTTTCTGGATTTGCTGGTACCTCGAGTGGAAAAATGTTGTTTATTTGATTCACTGAATATGGTGCTTTAGCTTTTTCCTCTACAACTTTAGAATAGAAGAGAATAACAGAGTTGGAAGGGACCTTGAAGGTCTTCTAGTCCAACCCTCTGCCTAGGCAGGAAAGCCTACACCATTTCAGCATTTCAGACAAATGGTTATCCAACA